TTATAATCTGCTTCAATTGAATCAATTGCACAGAAATTCCAGCAGCCCCCATGAACAAGTTCCATACCTTAGAGGCAGTAGGACTTGTGACAAATATATGCTCAATGGATTTCTCTTGGGGCTACTGACAACACCAACACCTAGACATCACCATTTGCCCTTGCCTCCTCCACATGTCATCGGTGGCTATTTTCTGCCTCCACAATCTCCACAAGAAGAAGGATATCTTGAATGGCAAACTTTTAATCCACATTAACTTGAATTCCTGATTAGGATCAGCCCTATGCCTTAATATTTGCCAAGCACTCCTAACACTGAACTTGCCTGAAGGAGTTGGCATCCAGTATGGCCTATCCCAATATCCTTCGCTGCCTTCATAATGCACATTTAGCCTTATATGTTCTGTAATTTCCTCATTGAAAGTTTGATCTAGCAGTTGAGCATCCCATGCTTCCCCTTGTCACAGTTCTGCCACCTCTTGAAGATCTTCATTGATTGGAAAGTCTTCAGGTAATACGTGATAAAGTGCACCCAATCCAGTCCAATTTTTATGCCAAATATTAGTTGTTCCACTCTTCAATTCCCATACGATATCAAGTTCTACTTCTTCCCTAGCATTTGTCTCCAAACATGAGACCCTCTCCTAAAATGCACCACTGTTGGTAGCTCCTTCTTGCAATACTTATTCCTCATAAAATTAGACCACAAAGATTTTGTGGTCCTAAACCTCCAACATAGTTTAGCAAACAGTGCCCTTGAGACATCATGTAAGGACCTAAAACCTAGGCCCCCTTCCTCTTTAGGAAGGCAAAGATTTTGCCATGAAGCCTAGTGTTTGTTTCTCCCTTCTTCCTTTGTGCTCCAAAAGAACCTAGCAAAGTCTTATGTAGATGCCCAGGATGTTGTTTGGAGGATCAAGGACTGATAACATGTGAACTCGCATACTTTGCAACACACTAGAAATGAGTGTTGCCTTTCCTCCAAATGACAACAGCTTTCCTTTCCATGAATGCAATTTAGCCTTCACCTTCTTGATAAGATCCTCATAATAGTCCTTCCTCCTTCTAGTGTAAAAAATAGGACACCCTAGATATGTGAAGGGGAATTTACCTCTTGCAAATCCTGTAATAGCTCCAACTGCCTGAAACAATCCATTAGCAACCTTTGAATGCATGTAGTATGAACTCTTATCTTTGTTGATCATCTGACCTGATATCTTCTCATAGTTCCCCAACACTGCCATAATCTTGCTCAAGGAGGGAGGATGAGCAGATGCAAAGATTATCGTATCATCAGCATATGCCAAGTGGTTTAAAGGATCAGACCACTTAGGCATTCCAAATCCCACAAATGACTTGTCTTCAAAGAGCTTATTCAAAGACCTGGAAAGTACCTCAGCTGACAGAATGAACAATGCTGGAGATAGGGGATCCCCTTGTTTCACACCCCTTGTCGACTTAAAGAACCCTGAGGACTGCCCATTCACCAATACTGAATACCAGTTATTTGACATCAAGTTCCACACCATGTTGATGAAGTGTTCAGAAAATTCCATCTTCCTTAGCACAAGCAATAAGTACTTCCATGAAACCCTATCATAGGCATTAGCCATATCAATCTTGATCACCACATTAGCTGGCTTTCCCCTTAACCTTATGACAGTGACAATTTCTTGAGTCAATAAGATGTTCTCAAATATACTCCTACCCTTTACAAATTCGGATTGATTAGGAGTTATTAGATATGGCAAAAAACTCTCCAATCTGCCATGTAACACCCTAGACAAGACCTTGTTAATGAAGTTGCTCAAACTAATAGGTCTTAAGTCAGAGAAGGTCTCAACTCTAGGTTTCTTGGGTAGCAACACTGGATTGGTGTGAGTGATGGATTTAGGCAATGCAACTCCTCCATAGAAGTGTAGCACTATGTTGTGTATATCAGCACCAATTCCCAGCAAGTTTGATAAAACAGGCCAGTGAATCCATCAGGACCACTAGCACTCTCCCCACTAAGCTCAAAAACTGATGCCCTTACTTCTTCAATTGTTGGCAATCTGCTAAGTTCCAAATTCTGATCCATAGTGACCATTGAAGGTACATTATTGAGCAAGGAAAATTCAAAAGCATCACCTTCATTTGTGAACTATTTTTGATAGAAGTCCACTGCATCTTTAGCCAATTGCTCATGGTCTTCAATCCATACCCCACTGCCACTTTTGATCCTCTTCAGTTGCAATTTCTTTCTTTTGCCATTGACATGATTGTGAAAGAAACTTGTATTCCTATCTCCTTCAGCAAACCAAGTCATCCCAGCTTTTTGCTTCCAATACTGCTCCTCAATACTCAAGTATTTCTTCAATTCAGATTGAGCCTTTTGAAGCACAATCCTATTCTCAGTTGTAGGCTCTTCTTCAAACAACATCTCCTTCACCCTAACAATGTCCTCCAAAATAGCCAATTGCTTGAAGATATCACCAAATGTTTCCCTACTCCATTTTGAGAGTGTTGCCTTCACCCTCTTGATATTCTTCTTGAATATCAAAAATGAATCCCCTATGAAATCAGCTTCCCAGTTCTGCCTCACCACATCCATAAATGTATCATGCTTTGTCCAAAAGTTCAAGAATCTGAAAGGCTTGACAAAATTGGTTGTCTTCACCCCACATGTCATTAGCAATGGTGCATGATCTGATCCAGTTCTGATTAGATGCTCAACTTCAATAGTTGGCAACATGTTCTGAAATGGAAAATTCACAAAAATCCTATCCAATCTCTTGAATATACACTCAGCATTGGATCTCCCATTCCACCATGTGAATGGACTTCCTTTGTACCCTTGCTCAAACAAACCACAAGAGTTTACACAAAATGCAAAATNAGTTCTGATTAGATACTCAACTTCAATAGTTGGCAACATGTTCTGAAATGGAAAATTCACAAAAATCCTATCCAATCTCTTGAATATACACTCAGCATTGGATCTCCCGTTCCACCATGTGAATGGACTTCCTTTGTACCCTTGCTCAAACAAACCACAAGAGTTTACACAAAATGTAAAATTCTCATATTCAGGAGGGTGTACTGGAAGTCCCCCTATTTTCTCATCTTCATGCAATATCACATTGAAATCCCCTCCTACCAACAATGGTAATTCCATATCACTTGCTAAGTAGTACAAGTGATCCCACAAATCTAACCTCTCAATTGCTGAACATTTTGCATAAACAAATGCCATCATAATGTGCTGTCCCAGGTCATGGTGAAACACTCTAACAGTCACCTATTGCTCAGTATCCTCCACTAATTCCCATTCCACCACTGCATCGAAGAACAACCATATTTGCCCATTAATATTTGCATAAGCAGTCTCTATATTCAACGTCCTTTTATATCTATCAATGAGTCCCTTCTTTTGAAAAGGCCCCATCAATGCAACTACACAAAAATTCTGCTCCCTATTCATGTTGATCACCCTAAGAAAGGCTTGTTGTGTATTCACAGACCTTATGTTCCATATTAATGTTTTGATCATCATCATTTAGATAGAGAAGCTGCCCTCCTGGGCATTATTCTTGAAGGTTGTGGTGGATCTTTATTCTGATTCTTCTTAGTTTTTTTACCTCCTTTAGCACTAGTTGTGGGTGATAAATCCCCTTCCCTAGCCACTTGTTTGAAGTTTTCTGCAGTTGATTCATCATCTCCTTCATCCTCCATTGGATTTTGTCTCAATAAGTCTTCATCAATTGGTGTCACATTGTGTGTAACTAAATCATGTAAATGTTGTAGAGGAGTCTTAAGTGGAACATTAAGATGTAGCTGCATAATTTGATCAGTACCGGATTCCATAGGCACTTCCTCTATTTTCCCCGATGCTCTTGGAACAATTGCCCGCTCATCAGCCTGTTCATACTCCTTGAATTGTAGCTCGTAGACACTGCCTCGCCCAGGAGTATCTATAGCAGTCTGCTCTGAAAGCAAAGTTCTAGTGAGATCACCACCCTTTCCATTGCCTGAAATTTGATCTGACCCCACTATATCATCCCTAATCTTCACAGCAACATCTCCATCAAGTTTGTTCTTTGATGCATACACCGGAACACCATTTACATAGGCCAAAATCTCTCCAGTTGCACTAAGGTTGGGGTTTGCTGTAGCTGCCTCATCAGGTGAACTCGGCTTTAGGCCTAGCGTCGCCAGCCTAACGCCTGGGAAGCCTAGCTTTAGGCCTGGCGTCGCCAGTATTCCTGCAGTGTTTGATCTCAATTTTCATAATTTAATTTTATTGAAGTAAAATATTGTCATTTTAAATTTTAAAAATAAATAAATAAATAACGATTAAGCCAAGCGTATTAGGTTTTATGCTTATTATGGTTAGATTAAAAATTGAGTAATAAATATAGCTTGGAGAAATGTTTTGTCTTATTTTATTTTGGTTTGAACGGGTTGATTTCTTAGAATTCAAAGGCAATTGGTATTTGGTAGTAGAAATCAAATTGTGATTAGGATGGGTATAAAGGAGTCTTTTCTCCAATTATGGAATTGTTTCTTTGAAGCAAAATTTTATATTTTAGAATAGATTGAGTCCCAACAGAAAAATGTTACTTAGTCCTAACCCAAAATTATATTTATATCCATTATTAAATTGCTACAAAACGAAAATATTAACTTTAAATGACAAAATGATCGACTAATTTATCGGAAATATTTTTGTTTCTCAACATTTAGCTTCATAATATTCGTATTTTTATAATATTATAGATAGATAGATAGTTACATTACAAGTTCTATCCAATATGAAATACATAAGTAATAGTATATAACTTTCTGACAACGTTTCTCATTAAAATCATGTTATACTATTAGTAACATAGAAATTAATATTAGTTATATATACCGGATTTTATTGTAGAAACCAAATAAATTAGTACGGATCTGATACTTCAAAGCGAGCAATAAGTTTTCTTGTTTAATTTTCATATTTGTCCTTTATTTCATTAGCTTCGACAAACTTTTGAAGAACAGTATTGACTTGACTTTGAAGTTTACAAATTTATCAAATTAATCGTACTCAAGGAAGAAAACAAAAACCACTGCCACTAAAATCCAAGAAACGGGAAGCACTTTTGGGTCACTCGCGTACGTTACTGAAACAGTGGAAACATACGAATTACATGTCCAATTTTGTCGTTTAAGCTTCTTCTTGGAATTACCAGTCAACTTTTGCCGACTTCAATATATTTAATGCGTTTCAATTTCAAAGCCATGAGTAACTCTTTGGCCTTTGGGATTTCTTCAACTCTTTACACATTTTCTCCCTTTTATGGACCAAAGAAAAACACCCCAACATGGAGTTTCTGGATAAATTTTACTGTGTTTCTCACAGTTAGAGCACTAGATTCTCAAAATTGTTATTTTCTTCATTGCTTCTGAGTTTTTATTTTTATTTATTTATTGAGATATGGGTTGGAAATACAATGCTGGATTGGGGTTAATAGGAGCTTTTGTGTTTATATGGGTTGCTTCTGCTGAGGTTACTCAGGTAATTAAGCCTTTTCATTTCCACTCTTTTTATTTCGTTTTGGTGTTTTCCCCTGCTTTCTGGGATTATAAAATATAGTCTTGGTTTATTTTGTGTACTGATTGTTTATTTTTATAGCTTAATTCTAATTTTGTATTTCTTTTCCATACCTGTAGTACTAGTATTGTTCTGGTATTTCCATTACTACCTATTATTTGTTTTGCTTCAGTTATCATAGTGCTTTTTTTCCCATGGCTTCTCCACTACTACCGTATTTCTTTTTCAACTGTTGTGATTATGCTTATCTTGAGGCGAGGATCTATCGGAAACAGAGGCGGAGCCGGAGCCAGGATTTGAAATTTATGGGTTCGAGATTTTAAATTCTTTAAGTTACTGAGTTCTAAATTAATAATTTATACATATTCAATGAATTTGTTAAGATAAATATATGGTTTGTACCAAAGTCAGAAACAACCTCTCTACCTACACACTAACCTCCCAGAATCCACTTGTGTAATTACACTTTGTTGTTGTTGTATGCAGCAATTAAATAGGGAAAGATTGATAAGAAGTAAAGGGAATATGTAGACTAAGCTTAATTGCTAAAAAGTGCAAACAACTTCTGAATGGGAAAATATAAAGCTGATATTATAAATTTAGTTCTAAAATGAATAAGATTATAGCAAAATGTAGTCTTGTTCATGAATTTATGCAGAAATACAAGTAACTCCTTTTTGTTTCTGTATTTAGATGGTCCAGACAGAATTTTATGCTGAAAAAGGAACAGTTAGGAATAACTTTAAGGATAATATTGGGTTGTGGATTATGTTTAAGAAGTTATCTCAAAGGAAGATCAAACAGAGGTTAGGATTTCCAGTGAATTTTGGCCTCATATATTGCTGAGATGGGGAAAAGCTTTGTTTTTCAATGGTAAAGCAACTAAAAGCACTTGCAAAAGGAGGTTCGCAAACATCAATGGTGAGAAAGAGTAGGACTACAGTAAAAATGCATAGAGATTGAGCTTAAGTACCGAGAGCGATAGGGGAAGAGTGTAAAGTTGGAAAATTTGACTGATTGGTTGTAGGAGGCTAGATACTGTTGCGACTAGGAATATGATTAAGGTAAAGAAGTTCAAAAAGACAGGCTGCAATATTGTTGAAATGCATAGAGTCTTAGTTATAATCAGGCAAAGGCAAAGTCACGTGAATGTTCTAGCTGCCGATTTCAGGTAGTAGCATTATGTAGAATTTGTTGTTGTTATTGACGTCATCATCTTACTAGGTTTTATCAATGATACTGCCTGTACAGTATCCATTATACAAGAACATCATTTGATTGATTATCTGCTTTCAGACTTTATGTACCTTATTTTGGTTTCTGTTCATGTAATTATTTTATTATCTTTATCCGCTATGACGTAGTTGTTGTATCTGCTATCACTTGCTGGGAAAGAAATGAGAAGCAACAGATTATCATGCACTATTGCAATGTTTAGACTGCTATCTGAGAGTACATTCAGAGAGGCAAGTTAGCGTCAACCATTTTCCAATTTTGTTTTGTTCTAAACATATGCATTTGCATAAAATCTGACACAGAATAACTTTTTGAATGCAAAGCCCATTGACTGATGATACTCGCAGTATTACCACTAAGGGTGCTGATTGCATCTATCTAATATCATAGGTTTACTTGTCTCATTTAGATTAGCTAAGGATGTCGCATCGTCTATGCATATCATATTCAGTAACTTGTGCGTATTCTACTAGTATTAACTGTTTTTTCACAAGAGATACTTTGTTTTCAGAGTACAATCTTTCTAAGAGTTGGTTTTAAACCAGTGTTTTGCTATATGAATTATATGTCCATTTCCATGTCAATATTGGAAATTTTCTATCATAGTATCTTAACAACAACGGAAAAGGGTCAGAAATGCCCTTAACGTATTAGAAATGGCTCAAAAATGCCCTCCTTCCACCTATGTGTTCAAATTTGCCCTTAATGTTATTTTTAGGCTTAAAAATGCCCCGCTCTTAACGGAAAGATGACATGGCATTGATGTGCATTTTAACATTAAGGGCAAATTTGAACACATAGGTGGAAGGAGGGCATATTTGAGCCATTTCTAATACGTTAAGGGCATTTCTGACCCTTTTCCGTTTTAATTAAACATGTAGCATTTATTTAGTCTGAAAAAAGTGATTTATTTTTTACTAAAAACTGAAAAAAATGAAAATATTTTTTTTTCCAGTTTTTACAAAAAAACTGCTTTAAAAAAGCTGAAAAATATTTTCTAAAACAATATTTTTGTAAAAACTGAAAAGCAATTTTCTAAAGCAATGTTTTTGTAAAAGCTGAAAAAAAACATTTCCTTTTCTTCTTCCTTCCTTGTTTGTCCATATGCTTTCTGAGTTCATTTTTTATATATTTTAGGTCTTCTAATGAGTTAGTACATCAAAACTGAAATATTTTCGTTTTTTTCAGTTTTTAGTAAAAACAAACTCACTTTTTTCCAGACTAAATAAATGCTTCATGTTTAATTAAAATGCCATTTTTCCAGAACTCAGAAAGCCAATCTATTCCTAAATAAATGCTACATGTTTAACTAAATAAATGCTACATTTTTCGAGACTAATGAATTTTTTTTTACTAAAAACTAAAAAAAACGAAAATATTTCAGTTTTGATATACTGACTCATTAGAAGAACTAAAATATATAAAAAAAATGAACTCATAAAGCATATGGACAAACAAGGAAGGAAGAAGAAGAGGAAATATTTTTTTTCAGCTTTTACAAAAACATTGCTTTAGAAAATTGCTTTTCAGTTTTTTTTTTTTCTGTTTTTTACAAAAATATTGTTTTAGAAAATATTTTTCAGCTTTTTTTAAAACAGTTTTTTTGTAAAAACTGGAAAAAAAAAATATTTTTGTTTTTTTCAGTTTTTAGTAAAAAAAATTCACTTTTTTTCAGACTAAATAAATGCTACATGTTTAATTAAAATGTCCATCAATGCCATGTCATCTTTCCGTTAAGAGGGGGCATTTTTAAGCCTAAAAATAACATTAAGGGTAAATTTGAACCCATAGGTGGAAGGAGGGCATTTTTGAGCCATTTCTAATACGTTAAGGGCATTTCTGACACTTTTCCGTAACAACAATTACTAGGGATTTATTGGTAAAGAAATGCTTCGAGTTGTGCAATAGGGAAAATTAGAATGTTTATTTCATTATGTTGTAGTTCTTATTTGCTGAAGATGCTGATCTTTTCATTGTTGGTGAAGGCATTTCTAAACAACTTTCCTTTTGCCATTCACTTGTTTCTGTTGCCATTAAATTCTCTTGATTCAAAGCTTCGCAATCATATTGTGCAGATGTTTTTGGACAGAAGATACTAAGATAAAACCATTTATGTGCTGCAGAAAATTTTTGTAGAGTATAAACAACCTTTTGTGGTTACATATCTGGGGATCTCTCTTATGGCAATCTTCCTGCCTATAGCAGTTTGTAAAGATTGGTTATGCAATTTATTAGAGAAGAGTTCATTGAAGAAACTATACAATGAAAATCTTCTCCTGGACTCATCAGTCCTAGATGTGCCACTTAAACTCAATGACATGCACAATCATCCCGAAGGAGCTTTGAAGAATTATTTTTCAGCAGACATGGATTGCAGTGACCCTGAAGAAGGCTTGCCGTTGGTTGATATCAACCATAAATATGAGTTCCACTTTCTTGAAGAGGACGACCATGAACGTAACTCATGGGACCTTGTTAAATGTAGTTTGTATCTTGCTCCTTTATGGTTTGCAACAGAGGTACTTGTTTCTATCTAAAACCTTTAACACTTTTTATGTTGAACAATATACTGCTTTCAGTACTTGCATCAAACATTTCTCTGTCTGTCTCCATCCTCTCCCCTAAAACAAAAACAAAACACAAAGACAAGTGGAGAGCAAGAACCAGCCAAAGGATCCCTATAGTGAAAAAAAAAGAAGGAAGCTGGTAAATTTGATAAAATGCGTTTCAAATGGGTATGCTTCATTACCCAATCCTTTTGCTTCAAGATTCACGGTCATGTATTTAACCGAGCACAAGCTTTTTACATCTCGTTTTGGAAAACAAATGTTTGCTGGTTGCTCAAAATTGCTACAACGCATTTAACATCTATGAGATCTCCCATTCGGAGCTCTAGGAAATATGAAAATATTATTTAAAACATTTCCAGACAGAAAGATCAGAAAGATGGAGAACTTGTTTTGTCCAAATCTAGGATTTCACAATCGATGTTTCCTTTTGTATTCCTTGAAAATGTTTAACGGATGAGAATTAGAAGATAGAGAATTCATGCGAGAGTTGATGCAGTCAAGTTGTCATCAATTGAGTTGGTCTGATTATGGATCAAAATGGTCATGCTTAGATCAAAGGAGTGTTAAATGTATCTAGGTGACTGACTGTTTGTTGTCTTATTCTGTCTTTATGTAGGGGACTGACTGTTGTTTGTCATATTCCTTCTTTGCAAGATGAATTATATAGTTGCAACTTGAATGCCCAACTTAATTGCTTTATGGCTTGCAGTATTTTTCTAACACAGCACTGGCAAATACAAGTGTGGCTAGTACTACTATTTTGACCTCTACATCAGGGCTTTTTACGCTTCTTTTTGGAGCACTCCTCGGCCGGGACTCAATAACTATTGCGAAGATGATTGCTGTTATAATCAGTATGAGTGGTGTGGCACTGACTACAGCTGGAAAAACATGGGCTCCTGATGAAATGCTGAGTGCATCTGAGTAAGTTTTAAATAAGCATCGGTCTGTCTATGTTGAGGTCTTAACTTGTTAATATGTCTTCAGATTCTCCAGACGAACCATTTTTACTATAAAAGCTATCTATGGAATAAAATGCATGCATAGGTGCAGAAGATGCTTTATCCATGTTTAGCATATAGGCATAGCATCTCAAGTTCTTCAGTGCCGGAACATCTTAATCTGCCATTAGACGACGAACATGCTATGTTAATATTGCAAAAGTTGTGCTTCTATATTACTTTTTTCAAGTCATTTCCATGTTTTAATTGGAGAATTTTTAGAAATTACCTATAATTGCTATTGATAAAAAAATAAATGTGAAAAAATTCCAATAAGATGCTTTGGAATGATAAATGCTGTTTAAGCTCAGGATGTATTTGCAAATTTAAAAGTCATCTCTGCTAATATCAATTAAATTGGTGCACTATTGATTTTCATTTTCACTTCAGGACTTCAGCTTCCTCCCATCTCATGTATTATGGCAAAGATGGAGTTTTTACTGGTGAAAGTTACCTAAAAAGTGCTGATGGCTTATAGGAAAAGATAATATAACAGTTCAACAGTTCAAGGCTCATACCTACTTTAAAGAGCTTGGTTTTTGGACCTGTAATTTGAAATGGTCAATTATCAAACTTAATGCAATAGAGAGATAGAAAGCAAGATATAGGTGTGCCGAGAAGTAAATGGTGTAGGACATCTGAAATTAGGCAGTTAAATCCAGAACGAGTGGTAAATAAATAATGACGAAAAAAGCACAGGATTCATGGAAAACGTCAATATCTCAAAGGTCCTCTAGGAATGGCACCTAACAGAAGCTTAAAGGAGGTTCCTCTTACCATTTAGAAGATCCAAAGAATTCTATGAGTAAAATTATACAGTTCTTCTCGTAAGGAACAAATCTTATTCATAAACTCTACAACCTAAACCTATTTTGTGGAGGATTTTCTGAACTAATTAGGAAACTAATACTGATACCTACTTGCAAAAAGTTTAAATTACTAAAATTATAACCAGTTTGCCAAAGAAAAGATTTCTTTTTGCAAAAACTTCTGCATATTGCAAGAATTCTTATAAGCAAAATACCCCTTGAACTGGAAAATTATAGAATAAGGAAATCTAATCGAAAATAATTGACACAAAATAAGAAAAGACTTTGAAAAAGTATTAGAAGCCTTAATCTGCTGGTCACAAAAGGGAAAAGGAGGGGAAAACAAGGAAACATGCCTCCAGATAATGCAAATTCTCTAACAGGTTAAACTGCTCTTCCATATGTTATTTTAATTGTCTGCATCACTAGACTCATTTGACCTGGATCAACATATACACCTCTTAAGTCTTAATTAAGGAATACTGGTGATGAGGCATCGGAGTAACCCC